AATTCATCCTGGAGCTCACGTGCTCGGATTTCGGAAATTTTCGAGGGAAGTTGTTACCCATAGCCTAAGGATCAAGAATATATGATTTTTACTTCATTTCCTAACGAATTTTATTTTTATTTAAACCCTAGATTTTACTCTAAACCCACAATTTTCACTAATTTACATGGTGTAATCTACCCCTAAACTATGTATTAAACTCACATTAAGTAGGAATATCTTACCTCACAATGTTAGGCTGAAATCCCCTCTTTGGAAGCCCCCAAATCGCCCAAGAAATGAATGAAATCTGTCAAAAATAACACATTTTTCATATTAAATGAAGGCACTGCCTTCAGTGATTTTCGCACATGCGGTTAGGGGACCGCATCTGTGGTCTCGCTTCTGCGAGGAGAGGCCCGTATCTGCAGAGTTTGACCGGGCTAGCTGGGGCCGCATCTGCGATTCCGCTTCTGCGGAAGAGGAGCCACATCTGCGGTTCCTGGGATCCTCCCTTTGGGCCGCTCCTGCGAAAGGACGACCGCTTCTGCGGTCTCGCACCTATGGCTGGCCAACCACATGTGCGATTATGACAGCAACCTGGAGCTTCAACTCCTTCCAAAATTTCCTAACTCAACTCTAGCCTCGTCCGATTGACGCTCGGGGCCCCCGGGGCCCCGCCCGAACATATCGACAAGTTTGAAATCATAAAACAGACTCGCTATAACCCTCAGAACGCCCCCAAACAACGCTAAATCTAAGAATCACCCCCCTAAAACCAATTGAATCAAACTTATGAACTTCAAGTTCTTCTATTCACATCCAATGTAACAAAACACACTTATACTACTCGGATGGACACCAAATTTTGCATGCAAGTCTTAAATAACAATACGGAACTAGTCCCTGTCTTGAAATTTTGTTCGGACCTCGATAACACAAAAACCCGCTCCAAACCAAATATTTAAGAACTTCAAAATCCTTAAGGAATCAACTTTCACTATTAGGCACCAAAACGCTCCTGGGTCATCCAAAACCCGATCTGGACATACGCCCAAGTCCGAAATCATCATATGAACCTGTTGGAGCCTTCAAATTCGGATTCCGAGGTCGTTTACTCAAGACATTGACCGAAGTCAAACTTGGACTTTTAAGCCAACCTTAAGGAACCAAGTGTTTCGATTTCAACCCAAACTCTTCCAAATCCCGAACCAACCATCCCCGTAAGTCATAAATCAGAAAAAGCAAGTACGGGTAGTCTTATTTAGGGGAACGAAGTTCTAGAAAGCAAAACGACCAGTCGGATCGTTATAGTTAGAAAAAGAATAAAAGGGAACGCCAAATATTCGAGAAGAAAAAGACTTACGGGATGCGTTCCACTTTTCGGGGAACGGTAGAAATTCGGAGGGGATGATGTCTTCGGTTTTCACTCAAACGAACCTCCCTGCCAACCTCGATCTCGGTCCTCGTCCATACTCGAGAACGGAGCCTTAGTTTCTCGGCGAACGAGCTTGATATCTCTATTGCATTTCCTTGATAATGGTTTAAGTACTAGCATGAATACTTTACTTAGATAATTGCAGTGATAATGAGGAACTTTTATGGCAATTTAACATGAATACTACTTCATTTGGATGTTCATTTTTATAAGGAATAAGAAGAAGAAGCAACATATCAACTTATAGGCTTAAAATCGAAAATCCGAAATATTCAAACTGATTAATCCGAAACTAAAATTAAAAAATCCAATCCAAGCTTATTTTGGATTTGATTTGGATTGTCATTTCTTCAATCAATTGAAGATCCAAAGCAAAATTTTCATATCCAATTAGAACTGGCCCAACACTCACCCTTAGTCATTAGTGTAGTTAAAGGATGTGCAACACACATTTCAGAGAGCCACTGAGGGAATCCATTAGTACTCTTAACTTATTATTATTTAATATAGTTTACATAACCGACATACATCTCACAATTGTGTACGGGTAAAATAGGGGGCAATGTCTACCCCAACTCCCCGGTGAGAGAACGAAGGGGGAGCACGGATCCACAAGATTGTAATCGAGGTCAGAGACCCCTCATATCGATAATCAGGGAGAGTGAACGATATATCCGATATCGAACATGGCAAAGAGACGCGCCCCGGACCGAGTATAAGTTCTAGACCTCGAGAGACACGGTGAATGGTTTATGCAGGATAGATAGAGGGTCGTAATACTCGCCCTCAATCGGATATCACGGCTCGAATATCGCTCAACATCGATTATGGATCAACAATTACCGGGAAAAGAAGATTATTACCTTTTTTAGACTTATATTAGGACTGAAACTCTCCTACTATATAAAGGGAAAGTTTTTCTTTAGTCTGACACACTGTAATATGCAATTCAAGGCAATAAAAGTTTATTTTTGTTCTTCAGCTACTGTTAAAGGCATTATTCACTTGTTCTGTTCTTTATTTGCGACTGGGCTTGAACTGTTGGTCCAATCGAGGACGAGCTCACTATTCAATCTAAAATCAGTCCTGGTCTTAACTTTGCTAGTGGTTTGATCGTTTATTTCACCTTAATTCATTTATCTATTATTCTTAATTATTCGTGTTAAATTAAACCACATATCCCTTAAACTGCGTGCAAATTTAATTATTGCATAATTTTGGGGTAAGCAACAATAATTATATTATTAATATTATATACTTTTTCTATATATCTAGAGACCTCATCAATATACTTAATTTTTCACAGAAATGTTGTCAGGTACCTAGCCAATGATCTCATGATGGTGTCCATCGATAGGTAATTGAGAGTCTCCATTGGTTCGATTTTACCTAATAGCGATTTTTCTATATACCTTGTACCGACAAAATTTTGTAGGTAATTTTCATGGCCCGCCACATCATCATGCCACGTAGGTGCCACTTGACACATATTTTTGTCATATGGAAAGCTTACATAGGAGAAAGGATAGTATTTGTAAGAAGGTTCTAGAGAAAATATAGAGATTTCCCTAGGAAGATCCTATAACCCTATGAAATTAATATGAATGACCTTGGAAGATTCTACCTATGTAAAAAATTCTAGAGAGGGGACTTATATGTAAATAATACGGAAATTCTGTAATAATTTATATTTACTCACTAGCCCCGATGGGACTAGTATATAAAAGGGGATATTCATTTGTAACTCATCAGGAAAAACAATCAAGTTCTCTCTAATATAAAAGCTTCATTTGGCAATGCTCATGTGTTCTAACATTCCCTTAGCGATCTTTAGGATAGTAAGACTGATTTGGCATAGCAAGAACGTGAGCAAGTTGTGCAAAACCGTGAGTTGGTTGTCAAGTGTCGCACGTGTACTTAGTTAAAGACTAAAGGTGTTAATCAGACCGGCCCGACCCACTAACAACCCGGTTCGACAAGGTTCAGCCCCGTCCGCTAAGGGGTGGGACGGGTTGGCTAGGGTAGGAATGTTGTGCCGGACGGGGTCGGGCTTTTTGGCTAGCGGTGCACCGGAACCCCGCTAGCCCGGCAACCCGGTCAAGGGTTTTAATCGTGTTCCAACCCGGTCCGGCCTGGTTTAAGTTGTAATTTTTTTTTTTAAATTCTTACCGTTGCCAACTGTCAAAATAAAAAAATGACCATTGGGCAACGGTCATTTTTTGCACTTTTAGCGGTTTCTGCCTATCCCCTTACTAAAATAACCCCTCCACCCCTTAATAATTGATAAATTATATTTTTAGCCTTAAAAAACTATAAATAGCCCACCTCTTCTTCATTTTTTCTCACAACTTGCCCTCTTCTTCTCTCACAGTTCCTTCTTGATTATTGAATTGCTTATTGCTCTCAAGTTCTCAATGAATTAATATTTCAAGTTTTATCAATTATTTACGGTAACCACTACAAAATTATAATTATCAAGTGAAGTGTGGTTACCATTTTTGTTAGGTTTAAGTTAAATCATGCCTCGTGCTTCTTGAGTGCGGTCACATGTTTGGGAACACTTTGAGGTGGTAGAAGAAAATGAAGAAGTTCGCAAAGTAGAGTGCAAGAACTGTGATCGAGTCTTTAATGTTCATCGAAAGTAGGAGGGCACAACTAGTTTAAGGAGACATATCTAGGGTTGTCTTGAGCGTCCTCTAGGAATTCGTATTTAAGTTGATTTGATACAATTTGTGTTATTTTTAATTTGTTAGACTTATTTAAGCTTAATGTGTAAGTTTATTAGACAAGTTAATTTGAAGAATTATTATGCAATGAAAATATAAAATGAAAGCCTTTGAAGTTTGATACTTACATAATGGTCTTATTAAATAATTTTATATAGCCACTTAATATTAATTTTCGAATTTCAAATTTAAAACTATAAACGTTAAACTTTAATTTTATGCCTTAAAATACTTATTTTATTATTGAAAACTTTGCAAACATTTAAGTATCAATTACATTGACAAGGAACATAATACACACACACAAAAAAAAAATTAACCCTGCCCGGTCCGGACTCGATAAGCCCGAACCCGAACGCCCAACAAAGTTTTTTACTCTTTTTCGAAATTAGTGTTTGACCATAAAAATTTCAATTTTCACTTGATGATAAATTTTGATTTTTTTTCGAAAATTTGAAAAACTCAAAAAAATTATTTTTCAAAATTTTCACTCAGATCACTCACAAAACTTCAGAAACAACCCAAAATTATATTCATGTCCAAACACAACTCTAATTTTCAAATATTATTTTCACTTAAAATTTTTTTCAGTTTTTTTTTGGAATTTTACAATTGTTATGTCCAAATGCCCACTAAGAATTTTATTATGGAAAAAAAAACTTATATGTTCATTTATTTTTTTGTATTAAATTAATTTATTCATTCATTCAATCTCCACCTACCTATCTCCTCGATTCGCGAGCCCTCCTAAATTTGAATTCAAATCAAATATTTCCTCCAATAACTGAGTGCCACGTCCCTGGTTTGGGAGGGTTTGTTAGCCCAAAGTCCATTTCAAAACCTCAGAAAAACCCTAGCAAATCCACCACTTTTTTGAAATTTGTACTACTTGAATGGTTTGGCATTTTCTCTGAGCCGTAGGAAACAAAACCCTAGAAAAACTCTTCACCTCTCAATCAATCTTCTTATCTCATCTTCAAATCCTTTTCCCCATTTTCCAAAAACCAAAACCCACCACAAAAACTCTTCAGCCAAATACCCAAAAAGTACACTCACAATGGCCAAAAAGAAGGCAGCCCCTCACACCCAAGATAAACACCAAACTGAAGAGGGAAAGCAGCAGCAGCAGGTGAAAGAACACAATCACTCTGCAGCCATGGAAGAGGCTTCTGAGAAACTTGAAAGCCTAAAGAGCCTCAACAACATGCTTCTCAAGGAGACCATTGAGAAACGGCAACAGGTGGACTCACTCGTGCACGCAAAAAGCTCTCTGGAATCGGAACTCAAAAGGTCTAACTCGGAGAAGGACGAGTTGAAGGCCCAGTTGGCTCAGCTGAACGAAGATGTTGTTCAGTTGGAGATTGAGAAGAAGCTGGTGTCCGTGTTTGTCTCTGTGCAGGTTGGTTACCATGCTGAGGTGGCTGAGAAGGAGAGGGACGGGTTTCGCAAACAGAATGATGCGGTTGAGAAGAAATTGGAGAGTTTAGAGAGAGAAATGAGTGATCTTATGAAGGAGAAGGGTGAGATTGAGAAGGCGAGGATTGAAAAAGAGAGTGAGATTGAAAGCCTTAAGGAGAAACTGAATGCTATTGCATATGAGGTTGCCCGTGAGAGGAATGTTTCGGAGGATATTCGTAAGGAGAAGGATGAAATGAAGACGAAACTTGATGCTCAAATAGAGGAATCAAATGGGTTGAGTGTGAAATTGGTTGAAACTGAGAAAAGAGAGAAAGAGATTGAACTAGAAGCTGGGAAATTAAGGGTTGAATACAATGCCCTTTTGGAGGAAATCAAGGACAGAGAAAGCAAGATTCAGTCCATGGTGACAGAGAAGGGATTAGTGGAGAAAAGGTTGTTGGATTCGAATAAGGAGATTGAAGAACTGAGGGTGCAGATTGATGGGATTGTTAGGGAAAAAGAAGGGATTGAAGGGGAGAAAAATGCAGAAGCTAAGAAGAGCAGTGAGTTGCAGAACACAGTCACTGGTCTCAACGAGACGGTGCTGAGTTTGCAGAAGGAGGCGGCAAAATTGCTTGAAAATTTGGCTGAGTTAGAGAACAAGTGTGTGGAAGGATCCAGGAAGGAAGATGAGATGGAGAAGAAGATTAATGAACTTGTGACGGGAAACAATGAGAAAGAGAGCAGAGTTGAGAGTTTGATTGAAGAAAAGGGCTTTGTTGAGAAGGAATTGGACAAGGCATTGAAGCAGTTAGATGAAGAGAAGAAGAAGATTGAGCAAACTGTCACAGAGAAGAATGAGATGGAAGAGGCTAAAGTTGGGAGGGAGGCTGAAATTGTTGAATTGCAGAAACAATTAGTTGAATTTAAGGACTTGATTTCTGAATTAGAGGTGTCTTGCAATGGTCAAGAAGAGAAAGTGAAGAATTTGGAATCTGAAGTTGGGAAGTATAAGGCTGCATTCGAGCGAGTTGCGCTTGAGAAGGATGAGATACAAAAGTGTTTTGATGATGAGAAACAGAATGTAATGAACATGAAGAAACAGATTGAAGAAATGGAGAAACACATTCAAGAAATCGTTAAGGAGGTTGAACGAACCAAGGCTGATTATCTCAATGTGGTTGGAGAAAAGAAAGAGATGGAAACTCGATGCCAAGCGTTGAACAAGGAAATTGCTTATGTGCAAACTTCACTTGGTGAAGCACAGAAGGAAATCAGTGCTATGCAGTGCAAGGTTGTATTGGCAAACAGTAGTTCCGAGGAAATCCTGAATGCTTTGAGGACTGTTGCAGGTTCTATCTGCTCGAATGATCAAGGAGCAAATGGCAATGTGCTTGGTGAAAAACAAATGAATGAGGAAGATGGCAAGCCTTATGAAGCAGAGTTGGAGGCCATCACGAATGCAATCAAGAGTAAAGAGAACAAAGTAGATGAGATGAAGAGACAGGTTGAGTTCCTACAGCTTTCGGTAGCACAAGCACAAAAGAAGAAGAATTTTTGGACCATGTTATCTTCTGCAACAACACTTTTTGCTGCAATTTCTCTTGCATATGTTGCTCGTGGCCATTGAATGAGGGAGTCATTTAGTTTTATCCAAACTGTTAACCGCAAGTTCCAAGAAAGGATTTCAGTTTTGGTCCCATAGTTTAACCTGTTAAGGAACATGCGCAGGTTTTTGTAATGCTGGTATCATGGCCTGACATGATATTTGACTGCTGTTAGCTTGTTTCAACATCATACTTAACAATCTATGACCACTTACTTTCATGCTTCCATATGAAATAATATGAAATCCTTTACTTTCCTATCTCCGTATTCAGATTGCCATTCAATTTTCTTGGATTTATCTTTGCTTCGTACGAATCATGAATCCATATGCTGTTTGTCTTTTTTCTCTTTATGTGTATTTTCTTTAAGATGTTATTTAAAGGAAGAAACTCCAATCAGAAGAGATTGTGTAAAAGGTTGTGAGCTTTAGAAAACTCACAATATGAATGTTTTGTTAATAACTTCATTGTGACAAGCTCAATAATAAAAGCTTAAAAAGCATTGATTTTTGGTCAGATATAAACAGAAAATAGATGAAACATCATGCATGTATACCTCTGTTTGGTTTCAGGATTTCAATATTTTGTTTCCTAGCTGTTTGGTTTCAGGTTCTGAATTTTTAGTTTCCATTTGCTTATTGATCTGAAGGACCCAAATGCTACTTGGCTTTCAAATTTCACACCCATTTTGGAGGTGAGAAATCAACAGCAATTTTTGACTAAAGAGGTACTGGAATTAGATGTTCTTTATGATGCAAGAGACTTCTTTTTAGAAATGTAATATCTGCTGCGACAGACTTTTTCCAGGGTACAACTGAACAGGAACAGTAAGAGACTTCTTCCAAGTGCTTTTTCCTCTGTCCTTTTAACAGGTACAAACTCAACCTCCTTAATTACATTGCATATACAGTGTAAACAGACGGAACATGCACGACGAGGTCATTTGGAAAAGTTATATCCTTACTTGCGCAAACGCTCGACAGGTATCTCTTGATGTTGTTGCATACTCAGTACTTCTAAATGCATTTTGTAAAGCTGGTGTGTTGATTGTGAGAGTTGTTTCTACTGTTTACTTATTCAACTCTAACCATACAAGGAAAAAATAGGACTATTCTTCCCTTTTTCTTCTCTTCTTTTGCATCTTTTACCTACATCTGAATGGAAATTCAACTGATACATGATATTAAAGACACGTGGTTTCATTTTTTTTTTTTGCCTTAAAAGTTTATTTTGATGCTGTAGCTTGACAAGCTAAATGAAACCAGAGAACTTGTTAATATGTATATTTGTACGTTGAATCAGTTTGGAACACTTCCGTGCGTCAACTCCAATGCTGCAACTGATTTCTATTTAGGAAGGATGCAACATCTATAGAGCCAGTCTTGTCGAACAAATAGCTGTAGCTTCCACAGCTGCATGTTTACTTATTTAGTCTGTTGTTATGTATTTGCAAATGGGTTTGGGTTATTCAAACCCTTATTTAATAACAATATTTTGTTTTACCAAAAGAAGCAAGGAGGAATGCATCTATAAGTTCATGTGGCAAAAACATGGTGGAAGTCACAATTCTAGTGCTTTCACTATGGACATGGATGAACATGACTTCTTTTGTTGGGTGAATTGCAGCAGCTAACAAGAGAAGGTTAATACTGGTTTATATGCAAGAACTATATTCAGTAAATTTCTTATATCACCATCTCCAATAAAAGTCATTCAATTTTCTACTGGCTTGTTTTTTTTCCTGGTTCACTCTGAATTCTTAGGTGTGCAATGATGGAAAATCGAGCCTGGTCTATATGAACACAAAATCTCAGGTCTGTCAACAGGATTTCAAGATTTTCATCCTGAGATATCATTACTTTCTCTAGTTCAATTGCTTATGCAAAGAGATGAAATCTAACTTTTGTGGATCGCTTGATAGGTTGTGACCAAGTTGAAGAGTAACCGTTCTGGTGGAGCTTTTTCTAAGAACAATAAATGTAAGCTCTCTCCTTAGTCCTTACAGTATTATGTTAGTTCACAACCGGAGTTGTTTGTAAACTATGTGACGGAAGTGAGCCATGACTGTTCAATAAAGAGTTGAAACCTAGATTTGTACCTTGGGATAAAGACTTCTCAGGATATTCTGGAGTTCAAGTGCAAAAACAAAAGCGATAAACAAAATGGGGTGGAGATAGAATTCAGGAACTTGTTGATTGAGCCAAGTGAGGGCTCACTGAGAGTGTTGGACATTAATAAGAACTTTTATTTGACTAACTTATTAAGTTTTGTTTTTTCATTTTTATGTTATTAATGTATAAAAATGTTTATGACTGTACTTGTTTTTTTCTGTTGATCATTTTTGAGTTATGATGTAAGCTACACTTGAAATGAGAAACTAAGCTCTTCAGGGAGAATGATGGAGTTTTATTTGTAAGGCCATGGGATGGAGGAATTTTAGCTCTTTGATTTATAAAGGGATATGGGATTTTACTGGGTTGTTGTCCCTTGATTTATAAAGGGATGTCATCTCATTTAGTCAGTCCACGCAATAGGATACATTGATTTCCATGTTGGTAAATAGTTTTCCATATTTACATACTCAACTCCTTTAGAGAAATTGGGACAGTATAAGGTACAACTACTATTCACAAGATTAAATATTAGCCATAATTGGTTGACAATTTGTCTTAGTTAACCCGTCTATTCTAGCTGTTAATTTTTTTTTTTTCCATAAAGCTATTTATTTCTTCCTAATTTATTTAGTTTTCTACTCTCCATTGTAACCTCATCTTTATAAGCTCCCGTTTAGGCATATATTTTGGTTTTACTCTTTCAAAAAAATTTAAAAATATTTTTTGTTTATGTAATATGATCATTTTGGGGAAAAAAACTTCAAAAATTTTCAAGTTCCCGAAAAACTAAATAAGGCAGTTTTTGGGTGATTTTTTTTTTTATTCCATTCAACTTTTCTTCAAATAAAACGCATGTCTAAATGCAACTTTAACTTTCAAAAATTATTTTTCAATACAACTTCAAAATTTTTTTTTTTCCAAGTTTTAATCAAATTTATGTACAAACAGAACAAAATAAATACAGTGAGAGAGCAATACTTAAACGAGATTTGGGAAGTCATTTGCAGGACAAGTAAGGACAACATTTTGTTGAATGTGCTCCTACTACCAACATATTCTTCCCCATCATAAGTAAATGGCAACTTGGACATAGGCAAATGTTTTACCTTTCTACCTCACTTAAATCATGAACCTCGCCGCCAAATTACATATCTATCCCTATGATGATGGTAACTTGTCCTTTTTGCTCTTTGCCCAATCAATCATCCACCACATGCGTACGGAAGCAGAAGAGACAATTGGATGAATCTGATGCCAATCGAATCGAATACTAATAAGAAAGAAATAGAGTTGCTTTCTTTGGAAAATAAAAGTCAACCCATCTCCCCCGACCCACCCTTACCTCCAACCCGCACCACTTAGGAAAAGAGACAATACACAATTTTAATTCAGTAAACGTTAAGTATTACTCCCCTATTATACTAATACTCTTATTCTTTATCATCATGTGTCAATAAATACGAACTTAATACTATCAATCAAACCGTTGTTCCACATGCACACATGATTATAGAGAATTTACCCTCAAGAGCCATTGAATTCGGAAAGTAATTTCTAAACTGTCTCAGATCCTAGACTTTATATAATGCGAAACAATTGCAGATAGAATATTGCGAGTTAAAGAAGTGGACAAAAGAAAATTTTAATTCTTTTCTTTATGTGGTTATTACTATAATAATTTTTCATTAAAAATAGTTGTGCCGGAAAATACAATATGTGCTCCAACCACACTTTCATGATCGTTTGGTACAAAGGATAAAAATAATTATGGAATAACATTATATTCGCTCTATTCATGTTTGGCCATAAATTTTGCCCACATTTTAGTAAAATTCCAAATCCCAAAATCACCCAATTGCTGATTTTGGGTCAAAATTTCAAAACTTGAGAATTATATATATGTTTTTCCAAAATAAAGTTGGGAAATATACGTACGTCCAAACACATTTTCATTTTCAAACCAAACTTTATTCAAATCAGATTTTCAAAATAAATTTAGGAATCTATGGCCAAACGTTAGCTAAATAAGTTTTCGCGACTTTATCCACTGCAGAGAAAACTGAAGATTGGTAATGATCTGGGGACTCGGAAAAAGAGGAGGAGGTGGCAGGGTGAGTCTGAGGGTTTTATAGTACAGGGGGGAGTGGGGAGTGGACCTTTTCAGTTTAATTTTAGTTTTGGACTTTTAGTCAGTCGAGTCACATCTTCACCAGTAGCAGACCAGTCACAAACATTTCAGTCTTTTTAACTCGTCCGTGGGGCAGCGTTATCAATGCCTTGCCCACTCTGCCCATCCCTGCCCGCTCTCCCCAAATTCCTCTATCTCTACTACCCCCAACTTTCCCTTTACCCTCTCGCGACATCTTCCTCTCTCTCTCTCTCTCTCTCTCTCTCTCTCTCGTTTGTTAAATTGAATACTTCACTACCCTCTGTTGTAAATTTATAAAAGGTTTGTATTGTATTTTAATTGTATTCTAGCTGTATATATCCGGTATATGTGTACACGCAAGTAATGATATGTTGCTTATGAATTGAATTAATTGGATCTACAATTGATGCTTGCAGATCGGTGAATTGATGTTTTGCTGTTGAAATTGAGTTAAGGAAGCTAGGGTTTTTTGGTATATTTTGTGAGCGATCGACGGTTTTTTAAGGGTTGAGGAAATTGGGGATTTTTAACTAGGGTTAGAGGAATTGGATGGTATAATTGATGGTTGAGGGGCAAGGAATAGGGGAAAATGCAAGGGGAATTTTATTATGCATGGGATTGGGAGGATACAGAGGGATTGTAAAAGGAGGAGTGGTGGTGGTGGTCAGCACATGCCGGCGACGATTACAAGGAGGACTGTAGCCGCCGGTGATTCTCCTCTTGTTTCTACTGTTACTGCTGATTCCTTCTGCAAGGTATTACCTTGGTGGGTCTTTTCGATTTTGCCTGATTTTCTCTCTGTTGACGAGAGTTCTGTAATAGTGATAGGTGATTGATAAAGTGTTTTGCATCATAGTACCTGTTCCTTCACTGATTTTAGCTGCGCAAAAAGCAGATTTTTTTTGGTGTGTGTGTGTGTGTGTGTGATTTTTGTTCCAGTTGGAGTTTTCCCCCCTTTTTTTGGCGGTTGTATCAGTTTAGCTTTAGAGGCTTGTAG